GATACTTCTCAACTTCAATTCAGGTTTTAATTTCCATAATCCCAGCTTCCCTGTCAGTCCATCAAAAATGCATTGCCTTGGTAACTGCTAACAACTTGTGTCAATTACCACCATTTCACACAATCACAAAATGGAGAATTCAGTGAGAGAAGATATGGATTGCGATCACACCGAAAATGTTTCGACCATGGTTGCCAAAGTGCCAAGTGAACAGCTGATGAATTTTCTCGAACGGATGATGAATATTCAAGAACGGATAGCTGGCGGCGTTCGAATGGATTATGAATATTCAAGAATGGATAGCTAGAGGCGTTCGAACGGATGATAAAGTTTCTTAAACGGATAGCTCGAATGGTTCGAACGGATGATGAATATTCAAGAACGGATAGCTTGAGGCATTCAACAGCATGCCAATCCAGTCAAACGGCTGGTGAACAGCTATCCGTTTAAAAATGGCTGGATACTGTCAAACTGACAGATTTCTTTTGAGACCAAGTCAAACAGAAGCTTGTCGTAAGTATTAGACATCCTTCAGTTCTACCGACAAATTAAATATTGGCCACAAGTATGTCTTATCAAAAACGAACAGACACAACTGTCGTAACAACTGTTGGGAGCATGTCACGGAGCAAAACTGTTTGCTCTGCTATTTTCCTCCTATTATCTCTGTACTTTATAACCTCCTCGGGCTCTGAAAGAACTAATCTACTCGCCTATGGACCTGACTTAGAGGTAACTTGGTTTGCTTTTCGTCATGCACTCCTTACAGCCTGTGCCGATGGAAAGACACCAAGGATGGAATTGACCAGGACAGGATTCTTTCAGCGACGGTTATCGTACAGTTCGAGCAGCTTGGCTTCCTTTAATCCCGAAATTCTTCGGATAGTCCGTAGTGGGGATGTCCATCCGCACCCTGGCCCTGCTACGAGAGTTAAATGCCCAACATGCACAAGAACCATAGCACGTAATCACCGAAATACTATATGTTTTGCATGCAACTCCAGCTTTCATATAAAATGTAGCGGCCTGTCCGTCCCGATCTACAGACAGATCTTAGCGGGGTTAATCAATGACTGGAAATGTTCAAACTGTAGTAACTCAATTCAAGTGGATTTCGACTTCTCTGATTCCTTATTTGAAGAAAATATATCCTTCCAAGATGGTGAATATGCAAATCAGTGTCACGTACCACAAAATCTGCATACTACATGTGTCTTAACTGATGCGGAAATTCAACGAAGCGAAACGGCCACCGTGACTCATAACCCACGATGGGAACTTGGGGATAAAAAGCTGAAAATTGGTCACCTAAATGTTAATGGCCTGATGAGCAAGTTTTGTGAAATTGAACTAATTCTAAGTGATATTAACTTCGACATCCTTGGCATTACTGAAACTCACTTGAGTGAGGACGTCTCAAATGAGTGGATATCAATTAACAACTACAACCTGGCAAGGAAGGATCATGACAGGCATGGTGGTGGTGTGCTTATCTACTACAAAGAATGCCTTACAATTAACCCTGTGCACAAATGGGATGCTCATAACATTGAGGCTATATGGTTAAATGTCACAATGCGATCGCAATCCTTTCTCATTGGCTGTTTATACAAACCACCTCACGATACTGTGTTCTTAGATACATTTAGGGAATTGCTCACTGGCATCTGGCTGAAGAGAAAAAATATTGTTCTTATTGGTGATTTTAATTGTGACTTGATGCCTAATTCAAGTAACATTAATGGTAGACGACTAAAAAATATCATGCAAAGTTTTGATCTTAAAAATGTCATTAGTGGTCCAACCCGAGTTACAGACCACTCTGAGTCGCTACTGGACCTTATCATCACCAGCCAGCCATCTAAAGTGGACAATA